AACTTTGGTAAAAGACGTGGCTTTCGGACTCTACTTCGTTTCCAGTATATTTGACATTAGACATCAAATATGTGTCATGTATTTCGAATTTGCAGGAGATGCTCTTTCCATATATTTGCTTCCATGGGTGGAACCAAGCTGAGAAATTTCATTAAAGATGTGCCACAGGTTGATGTGGCCGTGTGGTCTTTGCTACAAGACGAGTCTTTATCTTTTGTCTGAATAAATACCGATGAGGCAGGAATTATTGATCTTCTGGTTTGATCTTTCAGTAATTTGATGAATTGTGAGAGTCATACAATATATGTTGCTTATTCATAACGACGAACAGATTTGCAGGTGATGTATCATATCATATAATGATTGATATGCAAGTCAGTTACGATGCCTCGTAATGTTTGCTTTTCAATGAAAGGGTAAAAAGGCGTCGCACTGTAATTAAGTTGTCTCTAGATCACTGCTGTGCTCTTGATCATGGCTGTCAATTTTGTTACCATTACCAGGTTTTTACAGTGATGATTGTGGAATTAGGTTAAAGAATGGAGCTTTAATTTTCTTGAGTTTGCTGGAGTTTGTGGCTCGTAATTATGGTAATTTCCATATTTAGCCAAACTCTTTTGATGACTTGCATCAAATGATTCTCGTGAATAATTGTGCGTCGTTCGGTGGTGCAATGATCATATGGATACTTGACTTCATTTTAAATCAGCGATGGAAACAATCTCTATATGTTCATAATTTGCTACAGAAATTGTTGTACTTCAGGTAGGTTTTGCAGCATTTTTTTCATTGAACAATTACATTAGTGGCAAATAATAAGACATTTTAGGTTTATATCATCAACACTAAGCGGGAATAACAGGAAAACGAAGAGATTTTGAAGAAACAGAAATATATTGATAGCCGTTTTTCTGCAGTGTAGATCACGCTGATAATCCATGTGGTGATGGCAGGAATGATAAACATACACAAAAACAGAGATTACGACACAAATTTCTGGTTTCAAAGGAGCTGAACAAAAGATGTGCAGATAAAAATGAATAAATAAATAAACCAACCTCCAGATAAAGTTTTCCTTACACAAAAACAGGTGACACTGAAGCTGAAATTTTGCAAGGGGTTTAAGCCCCACATATGAATCACCAAAAGGTATGTTACCCGCAGCCTGTCCTGTGTACATTCAGCAGTAGTAAGTGAACCATCTGAAAGAGAGTAAAAGAATATAAACTTTCATAGCACATTTCATTCTGTTCAATACTATTAATGGGGTATTTAAACAATGTTTACCTCATGATATTTATCATATGGCAAGACTCAAAAATTTATAACTTTCAGTGAGACAGACTACATACACTAGCATTGTACACCTTCACCATAGGTGCCGAAGCTATTCATTTCCAGAAAGCCAATATTGGTCTGTTAAATCCAGATTTGGAACCAGATAATGTGGAAGTTAAGTTCTCTACCCTGCGGAATCCAATCTGCAATGACGTTAAAGAAGAAACATCAACAGCTTTCTCGAGAATGAGATTTTCATAAATCTTCATTAGCTGATTTTGAACTTTAAAGAGAACAAATTAAAGTACAATATTACATTTAGGGCCTGTTTGAAGTAGATTCTTTTATAGATTTTGTGAAAAGTAATTTTTTTGGAGAATTTGGTTAATAAGTAGGGAAAAGTTAGGCATCCATGTGCAAAATTATTTTATTGGGAGAATGAGTGATTGAAAATAAGTTTGTGAAAAAATGAGTTTCAAAGAATTTGTACCAAACGGGAGCTTAAAGAACTTTGGGCCCAGATTTACCTTGTCTAGAAGTATATCCTGAAAATCTTCTGGAGGTATCTGAATAGTTTTATAATTAGCTGCTGCTGTCTGCACAATATTAAAGGACCTCGTCTCAGAATATAAGGCTTTTACAAAACAAAATAAGTATGTTCAAACTACAGTGTTCAATAAATTAGCATATGACCTTGTTGCCCTCACACATTAATAAATCGTCATTAGTACACATTCACCATTTAGCTTTCATGTAGAACCAGACACACATATAGCTTTCATGTAGAACACTACCTCACAGTGAATCAATCATATATNAAACCTGAAATTGAATTATGTTCAAATCATTCAGAAGAGTAAAGCTTTTACATTTCTAAATAAGTGTTCAAAAGAGTTTAATAAATTAGCATATGACCTTGTTGCCCACACATTAATAAATCGTCATTAGCACACATTCACCATTTAGCTTACTAATGGTCATTTTCGTGTTACTGTTGCCCTCAAACTGATTAATAAATTGCTATTAGTAGAATATCTTTCTAATGGTCTTTTTTGTGTGATTTAAGACCTGTACATGGTAAAGCAATACCTCAGACACAAGCCGATTACTTTGATATGAGCTCCATGGTTGGGGTTCCAAAATGAAAACACCACCCTGCCCAAAGTATGCATGGTTGAGATATTCAGGAAAAGAATATGAATAAGAAATTAATCAACTCCATTACAAACAGAACTACAAAATAATGGATCTACCGGTTGAAGAAGCTTCCAGACTTTGCAAAACAAAGTGATTATTCCTTCATCACCCCAGTTCAAATGTATCCACTTTGTCACACTTAAACTGGAAAATGAGAAGAAAATCCATTTCATTACAAGAAAAGGAAGAGAGAAATTAGAAAGCAAATTTTCTATATAAAATTATGACCTCATGAAAACACACTAGAACTTTATCTATTCCCCTGAATTAATTATGAAACAAACTATTTCTTGTTCATCTAAGGGGAGCATGATAAAACACAAAGAAAAGGGTGGAAGAAAGGGGAGGGAGAGAATCATCTCAGTACCTACCTTCCATTCTTTATACTCCTCCTTTTTTGTCTTCAATATAGACTTTTCTCCTAATGGAGCTGTAATTACTAACATAAGGAACACATCACAAGATCCAGAATTATTTTTATTCCAGTTACATTTTCCAATTGAGGAGCAGAAAATTCTTTCTTTCATTTGTAAACGTTAAATCAATTAGACAGAAACAAAAACAATCTTACCAAAGAATTGTATGGTAGTAAGCATCTTGTGGTGGCCTCCAATTCTGAACAAAATTTCCTTTCTGAAAAGAGACTATGTCAAAGAGATCTTTTCCCTGCAAACGAGGAGTATCAACAGACTTCTCTGGTGTCATTTCAGTCAGCAATATACTAGTATGGTTCTCTAACCCATTAAACAACTCCACATCTGCTGGTTTGGGTGTCTTGGAAGGTAATATACAAGCACACATCTTCCCAACTTTCCTGAGAGTCCAGTGGGCATCCTCAATTCTATCTGGAATATTAAGAACCATGATTAAAACAATTCATTCCATGTTAAAAAATGTGGGCAATGACATATTTAAAAAGACATGATAAATTTCTGCAAATGCATAATACTTGGGATGACTAGAACCACGGGCCAAAAAACGAATGAATTAGGCATAGACCAACGATTTACCAATGTTCATATGCAAGAGCTACATCTGAGAAAAAAATCACGGAAACTCTCCTTTCGATCAAAGGAACAACAATTGAGTAAATTTATACCAGTCTAGTTTATTTCTCCTCTTTCCTACAGACCCACTAAAGTCCATATTAATGTAATTGATAAGAACCACAACTGGCCATGTAACAATATCACTTGTCCGGAGAAAAAGTAGCAGCCATATAGCTTGATATTATCATTTTATACATTCCAATTTTTCATTTTCCAAAAAAAAAAAAATTATAATCTTTTATTTATACATATTTAGAGCACGTTTGAGCCCCCTTTTTTTGTCCAAAATGCATTTTAGAATAGTATTTTGATGGAGAATGTGTTGTAAAAAAATGAACAGTTTTGGGTTTACGTGTAATATTATTTTATTGAAGAATGTGTAGTTGAAAATAAGATTGAAGAAAATGTATTTTGAAAATAATGGGAACCAAACAAAGGCTTACTAAAAAATCCGAGTCATGCTTACTATACAGTTCAAATAAAATCTGGTAATCAATTTTTTAGTTATAACTGTTAAACTGTATAGTAGCATACTTCAGTAAATATATATAAATGGAAAATATAATTTCTTAGAAAATGAAAAATTTAATAAAAT